CCATCCATGCTCAGTAACAGTTTTTTTTAAAGTAGCGAATAAATAAGGAACCTGGACTGCAGGGCTCTGCCAGAGGAAAAGCAGTCAGGTGCCATCCCTGCCAAAGGGCATAATTGCCAGAGTTCTTCCTGAATCCTGCTGTCCCTTGAGTGGGAATAAGCTGCTGCCTTTTTGTTACCAGTTGCTGTGGAGCTGATTCCGACTCATAGTGACCCCATGAGTGTCAGAGTAGAACTGTGTGCCATAGGATTTAAATTGGCTGATATTTTGGAAGTAGATCACCCGGTCTTTCTTCTGAGGTGCCTCTGGGTGGACTTTAACCACCCACCTTGTTCAGTTAGCAGCTGAGCTCTTAACTGTTTGTACCACCCAGGAACTCCCCCTTCTTGTTAGGATACCTGTAATAGCTGCTATAATAGCTGTCAAGGAACAAGCAGGCTCCTCTGGCATGCACTAAAGGTGATAATGCCCTTGGAGTATGCAGAGTAGCTTTACCTCCTAGTGCTTAAATGGGTTGGCATAAGTGAATAGAGATGTTTTTTAACCTTCCTTCTTTTTTTTCATTTTATTGTGGTTTAGGTGAATGTTTACAGAGCAAATTAGTTTCTCATTCAACAATTTAGGCACAGCTTGTTTCATGACATTGATTGCAAACCCCTGAACATATCAGCACTCTCCCCCTTCCTCCCTGGGTTCCGTGTCCATTCGCCTGGCTTTCCTGCCCCTACCGTCCTTCTGAACTTTGCTTTTGGGCAAATGCTGCCCTTTAGGTCTCATATAGTTGTTTGTTCTGAGGTGTATATTCCTCACTGGTGTAATTGTTCATTTTATTAAAAAAAAAAAATCCACTGCTGTTAAGTCAGTTCCAACTCTTAGCAACCCTATAGGGCAGAGTAGAACTGCCCCCATAGGGCTTCCCAGACTGTAATCTTTACAGAAGCAGACTGCTACATCTTCCTCCTGCAGAGCGACTGGTGGGTTTGAACTGCTGACCTTTTAGTTAGCAGCCGAGTGCTTAACCATGGGACCACCAGGGATCCTTGTGTTTATTTTAAAGGTCTGCATATTGTATGGCTGTAATGGTATCTCCAGGAGTGATTTTAGCTCCAACTTTGAAGGTTGTCTAAAGGGCCATAGTCTTGGGGGTTCCACCAATCTCTATTAGACCAGTAAGTCTGGTCTTATTTATGAGTTTAAATTTTGTTCTACATTTCTCTCCCATTCTGTCCATGACCTACTATTGTGGTCCCACTCAGAGCTGTCAGTAGTGGTGGCCAGGCACCATCTAGTTCTTCTGGTCTCAGGCTAGTAGAGGCCATGTTCATGTGGTCCATTAGTCCTTTGGACTAGTTGTTTCCTTGAGTCTTTGGTTTTCTTCACTCTTCTTTGCTCCAGATGGTAAGAGACTAATTGTTGTATTTTAGATGGCTACTTGCAAGCTTTTAAGAGCACAGTCGGTACTCAACCAAGGTATGATGTAGACCATTGTCGGTATGGACATACCAATTGACCTAGATGTCCTCCAAGACTATGGTCCCTAGCCCTTAAGCCCAGTATCTCAGTCCTGGGAGGTGTTTGGTCATGGCTGAGAAGTTTTCATGACTGTGTTCCCTGTGCACACTATTGCATACATGGGATATTTACAGCATGTACACATACATGTACGTGGGTGTACTTCCATATTCCCTCCCACCTCTGTTCAAATTACATTATCTACCTGTGTATGCACTTGTACGTTATTGTTTGTTATTACTGTTGTTGTAGGATTGTATATGTATTATTATTTACTGTTGTTGCCTCTTACTCTTTGGTACCTTTCAGTGTCTTAACTTTCAGATTTTTACATTAGGAATAAAACAGCAGGAATAACCTCATTTAACACATGAGCATATTATTAGGCAATTAAAGCTTGATATCTCTGTTTAGGCTAATGCTTTGACTCTTTGACTTTAAGGACCTTGTTTGTCTCTCAAACTTTACACAAATCAAATTGGCAGCTTAATAATGCGAGCCTTTATGTGTTTTCTCTTTCAGACCCCATCAGAATTGGGATAGCTTTGGGAAATGAAGCAAGCTTGTTGGTAAGGGCTTTAAAATTAAATTTACAAAACATCCATCCACTGGGTACCCTGTACTACTAGGTGCTGTGAGATACTTGGAAGACTGTGACCTGTTCCGGTTAAGTAGTTTCTCATCTTTTGGTGAAGATAAAACTCAGGCGTGTGAAGGAATTGGTAGTTGTTGTTCTGTACTGCCACTGAGCCATTTTAGATCACCATTTTCATCTTAACATTTTTCTGCTCAAAAACTTTTGGTGCCTCTGCATTGTCCCATGAATCAAGTCTACGTTTTCAGCCTGGCATTTGAGGTCCTGTTTGTTTTGGCTCACCATATGTGGCTGTGAAGCGATTTTACACTAAACTGTTGTAAAATAGTAGGTAGTGACAGCTGATCCACTTTCCAGGGTCACACCCACCTCATTAAATAGTGTACTATTGATCTGGTTTTTGGTTCTTCTACATTTTAATTAACCTTTTAATGAAAAGGAAAAGATGTACTAACAATAAATTATTCTGTTTATGGAGCATACTAGTAATTAAAGTTGTCAGCAATTTTAATGAACCTTAGGTTGTAAATGTATAACATCCCAGCATGATGTTACTACAAGTGGAATATATCCTGCCCTGGCACTTTTTTTCTTCTTTGCACGGTAACATCTATTTTTTTCTAGCTTTTTGTTTTTTGACGTATAATATATCTACAATAAAATTTACCCATTTTTAGCATACTGTTTGATGATTTTGGTAACTTTATATAGTCATTTGACCACTGGCACAGTCAAGATACAGAAGTTCCATCACCCTGAAAACTTTCCTCATGACCCATTGCAGACGATCCTGACCCCTGCCCCAGGCAGCTGCCACTGTACTTTTAATACCGCTTATAGTGGACAGAGAGTCACTAGGTGGTGCAAATAGTTAATGCACTCAGCTGCTAACTGAAAGGTTGGTGGTTCGGGTCCACCCAGAGACACCTTGGAAGAAAGATCTGGCAATCTACTTCCAAAAAATCAGCCATTGAAAACCATATGAAACACAGCTGCTCTGAGCTCACCACGAGTTGGAGTCGACTCAACAGCAATTGGCTTCTGGTTATAATGAATGAACGCATCAGTACGTTTTTGCAAAACAAAAAGGGTATGGCTTTATAAACAGAAGGGAGAAAGAGCCAAAAAGTCATTTGTGTAAGAGAGGACTTGAGGTAGCAAGAGAGTGATGTGCAGGCCAGCAAGATGTGATGGGAGTAGAGGTGGGTCAGTGGCAGTGAGATGGGAGGGGGAGGAAAAATCGTCTCCTGGCGGCTTTTAAAAGCTACTCATCACCACTGCCCCTCCAAGTTTCTGGTGCCTGGGGTGGGGGTGGGGGCTTTGAAATCACTGTTATAGTACATTACCACTGTTAAGTGATAGATGTGTGGGGAGAGAAGTTTGAGAACCACTGTATAGAAACAAGAAAACTCTGTGCCAGCTAAGGCCTACTGTTTATTTATTTACTCATGCAATAGGTAATTGAGAGCCTATGTGCCAGAAGCCCTGGTGGCGCAGTGGTTAAGAGCTCGGCTGCTAACCAAAAGGTCAGGAGTTCAAATCCACTAGCTGCTACTTGGAAACCCTATGGAACAGCTCTTCCCTGTCCTGTAGGGTCACTATTAGTTGGAATAGATTTGACGGCATCAGATTTGGGCTTTTCTGGTATGTGCTAGGCACCATTTTAGGCCCTGGATATTTGTTCCTTCCCAAAATATATGCAGATTTAGTAAGGGCTAGATCTGTTACTATACTTCATGAAATCAAGAGGTTAGATAATTTGGAAAAATACTGAATTAAGTAGGAATATTTTGGCCATATATAAGAATTATATAAATATCTCATTTTGATATTTCAGCATGAAAAGCCCAATACAGCAAACCATATTGAAATTTTTCATTATAGGCAGTCCCCAGGTTACGAACATTAGACTTACATACAACCTGTAGTTACAAACGACCTCTGTAAAGCCCATTATATTAATAAGTCAAGACATACACAGTGGTTCATAATAACAAACTGGTGCTACTTTGCTACATGCATCAAAACATTATTAATATTATTACTGTATTATGTTAAAGATGTTTTAGTGTATCTAAAAGTATTTAATGTTTTTTATGCTTGGAAAGGTACACCATATACTATATACTAAGACAAACATTTGACTGACATTAGATACAAATTGTACCTAAGTGTTCTGGTTTACATAGAAATTCGACTTAAAGATCGATTGAGGAACAGAACTCGTTTGTAATCCGGGGACTCATTTTCTCTATACAGATCTCTCAGATACCTCTATCATTTTGTTATATATCCTCTTCATATTTGCAGTAATTGATATATATGGCTATTATACATTAACATAAGCATGAATATATGCATATAACTATGTAACTTTTAAGGAGCCCTTGTGGTGCAGTGGTTAAGTGCTTGGCTGCTAACCGAAAGGTCGGCAATTCGAACTCACCAGCTGCTCCGTGTGAGAAAGACGTGGCAGTCTGCTTTCTTAAAGATTACAGCCTTGAAAACCCTATGGGACAGTTCTACTGTGTCCTATAGGGTAACTATTGAGTTGGAATCGGCTCAACAGCAATGGGTTATGTAACAATTAGTATACATATACAAGAGCCCTGGTGGCACAGTGGTTAAGTTTTGAATCCACCAGCTGCTCCTTGGGAACCTTATGGAGCAATTCTACTTTGTTCTATAGGGTCACTATGAATTGGAATTGACTCAATGGCAATGGGTTTTTTTTATACATATACATGTATGTATGGGGTTCTATGACTACTAATGTTTTTTAATTCATTGATTTTCATTTAAAATTAAACTGTCTGACTGCATACTTGTTCACCTTTTTCATACCAATTCAAGCATTATTTAATCTGTATTTTTAATCTTTTTTTAAAGCAAGGGGAAGAAGAAGTTAGAAAATGTAGCCGCGGTGATTTAGAAAGCATTAATAAAAATTTGGTTGAAAATGCATTGAGGAGAGAAGAAAAAGGTAAGTTATTCAAATTCTAATCATTGTATAGGTGAGGAGTTGGGGAGTATAGAAGGAATACTGATTTTCATGTTACCAGGTCTTAGTTGTTGCAAGTATGTGGACAGGTAGATTTTTGTTTGTTTATCCAGTAATTTATTTAATGGTACAGCATATTTTATTTTTTCATAAAAAAAGAGAGAATAGTGTTTATCAGTAAGAGTCATTAGGAAAAGTAATATTTGTTGCAGTATCTACCATAAAAAGCATGGCATACAGTGTACATATAAGGCCTTTTGGGGCTTTGTTCTTGTATATTGCATAATATGTAAATATATATAAGTTTTTATAATTCCGTCACTTTAATGATTCATTGCACCTTTTCGTTTTGTTTTTTTTCATTTTCTTTGCTATTTACATTTGAAAGACCATTGTTGCTAGACCTGAATTTGAAAGAGAAAAGAAAATTCTTCCTTATTATTGTTACAGTATATGTATAGATATAGATGAGTAAATAAAATAATATGCTTAACTTTCCTTTTTTATCATTGAAAATCACACAATAAATCAGTCCATTCCAGGAAAGCCAATTCACCAAGTCCTCACAGGCAACAGTGGGAGAAAAACATATCCAAGACTGCTGTTAGTGCTTTGCAAAATGCATCCATACTGACCTCCAGTTTAACAACAGAGGACGATAGAGGTTGGTAGTAAGATTGAATACTACTGTTTTATTATAGGACATTTTCTAATAATTATTAATGTGTTGGAGTTTTTTTTTTTTTTAAGTGTCACACATCAGAGCTCTCATCATACAGACTAATAAAATATATTTTAGGAGAGAGTAAAATACAATGTAAAATGTAAATATAGTATAACTTTGCCTGAATTATGATGTAGAAGATATATGCTGAAACTATTCTTTTATTTGGCACTAATTGTTACCTTTTCACAACTAGGTGGCTCTGTAATAAGGTACAGGGAAAACAATGCCCGTAAGCAGTGGCTCAAAGAGACCCCTGAAACCTTGTTGAACCTCCTTAAGAATGCTGATCTCAGCTTGGCATTTCAGACATACACAATATACAAACCAGGTAATTCACATCTGTTACATAACCACAGAAACCTTTGATTTTAAGGTTATGAAATAATTCATAGCATTGCATTTTCAGGTGTTCTTGAATCTTTTCTAGCCACTTTTAATCTGTACTTAAAATTTCCCATAGAGCTACACTACTTCTAGTCACTCATTTGATTGCTTATTTTAATAATTACGCAACTACTTTCTTTGAGGAGTAGCCTGTTTTTACCACGAAAATACACCATTGCTTTAGTGACCTTGCAGCTCAGACTTCATGGTAGTAAATTCTGAGGAACTCCAGGATATTTTTTGCTGTTTACTGGAATTCTGTTACATTGAATGTTGTTAGGTGCCAACGAGTCAGTTAACTCATAGCAACCCTATGTACAACAGAACAAAACACTGCCTGGTCCTGCGCCATCCTCACAGTCTTTGTTAGCTTGAGCCCATCGTTGCAGCCACTGTGTCAATCTATCTCATTGAGGGTCTTCCTCTTTTTTGCTGACCCTCTACTTTACCAAGCATGATGTCCTTTTCCAGGGACTGATTCCGTCTTGATAACATGTCCAAAGTATGTGAGATGAAGTTTTGCCATCCTTGCTTCCAAGAAGCATTCTGGCTATACTTCTTCCAAGACAGATTTGTTCATTCTTTTGGCAGTCCATGGTATATTCAATATTCATCAGCAACACCATAATTCAAAGGTGTCAATTCTTCTTCAGTCTTCCCTATTCATTGCCAATCTTTCACATGCATATGAGGCAATTGAAAACATCGTAGCTTGGGTCAGGTGCACCTTAGTCTTCAAGGTGACATCTTTGCTTTTTTTTTTTTTTTAACACTTTAAAGAGGTCTTTTGCAGCAGATTTGCCCAATGTAATGCATTGTTTGATTTCTTGACTGCTGCTTCCATGGGTGTTGATTGTGGATTCAAGTAAAACTAAATCCTCGACAACTTCAGTCTTTTCTCCGTTTATCGTGATGTTGCTTATTGGTCCAGTTGTGTGAGGATTTTTGTTTTCTTTATGTTGAGGTTAATCCATACTGAAGGCTGAAGTCTTTGATCTTCGTCAATAAGTGCTTCAAGTCCTCTTCACTTTCAGCAAGCAAGGTTGTGTCATCTGCATATCACAGGTGGTTAATGAGTCTTCCTCCAATCCTGATGCTACATTGTTCTTCATATAGTCCAGCTTCTTGGATTATCTGCTCAGCATATGGATTGAATAAGTATGGTGAAATGATACAACCCTGACGCACCCTTTTCCTGACTTTAAACCATGCAGTATCCACCTGTTCTAAACGACTGCCTCTTGATCTAGGTACAGGCTCCTCATGAGCACAATTAAGTGTTCTGGAATTCCCATTCTTTGCAATGTTATCCATATTTTGTTATGATCCACACAGTCGAATGCCTTTTCATAGCCAATAAAATACAGGCAAGCATCTTTCTGGTATTCTCTGCTTTCAGCCAGAATGCATCTGACATCAGCAATGATACCTCTGCTTCCACGTCTTCTTCTGAATCCCCCTTGAATTTCTGTCAGTTCCCTGTTGATGTACTGCTGCAACCACTTTTGAATGATCTTCAGCAAAATTTTACTTGAGTATGATATTAATGATATTGTTCGATTATTTCTGTATTCGTTTGGATCACCTTTCTTTGGAATAGGCATAAATATGAATCTCTTCCAGTCAGTTCACCAGGTAGCTGTCTTCCAAATTTCTTGGCATAGAAGAGTGAATACTTCCAGCACGGCATCCATTTGTTGAAACATCTCAGTTGGTATTCCTTCAATTCCTGGAACCTTTTTTTTCGCCAATGTCTTCAGTGCATCTGGACCTCTTCCTTCAGTACCATCAGTTCTTTATCATATGCTACCTCCTGAAATGGTTGAACATTGACCAGTTCTTTTTGGTGCAATGACTGTGTATTCCTTCAATCTTCTTTTGATGCTTCCTGCATTGTTCAATATTTTGCCCATAGAATCCTTCACTATTGCAACTCGAGGCTTGAATTTTTTGTTCAGTTCTTTCAGCTTGAGAAATGCCAAGCGTGTTCTTCCCTTTTGGTTTCCTAACTAAAGGTCTTTGCACATGTCATAATAATACTTTACTTTGTCTTTTTGAGCCACCCTTTGAAATATTCCATTTAGCTCTTTTACTTCATCATTTCTTCCATCGATGTTCAAGAGCAAGTTTCAGAGTCTCTCTTTTTAATGAACTCTTGCTTTCTTCATGTATGAAGTCCTATATGTCATTCCATAACTCGTCTGGTTGAATAGAGCTCAAAAAAGGTGAACAATTAGAATTTGATTTGGTTGTTTTTTCTACAGATGTTTTCACTCAGTTGGACAAAATAACCTTTATAATATTATCCTTAGGAATTCAGACAAAGGGGTGTACATATGTGTGTGTATAAGTGTATAAGTTTGATAATTACTAAGCCATCTTGATTGGTTTAGATCTCAGATAAATTATATCAAGTAGAGCATGTAATGGTTTGGTAAGTCTCTACTGCATTGATTGTAACAGGTGTAGCTTTATTTGTTCATTTGGTCAACTTTTACTGAGTTCAAGGTTGATGTTTAAAAAAGAATAAAACATAATTCTTGCCCTGAAGGAGACCAGCACACAAATAGAGAAGTATAAAACTGTGTAGCATGCATTCTGATAGAGCTGTGCACAGGGTATTATGGGAGCCCTGAGGATAGATTGATGTATTGGAGGAAGGTGTAAGGAAGGTTAATGGTTGTAGATTTAAAAAAAAAAAAAATGGCTCTTGGAAAAGCCTACCATAAAAGTAAATACATTGTCTTTGAAAAGAAGTAAATAATGCTCATGCACCAGTGTCATGAAAAGGAGAATTGACTGTATTCTTTTTTTTTTTTTTAACTCCCCTTCCCTCCTCTTCCCTGGTAACCACTAATCTTCTTTTGTCTCAATGGATTTGCCTGTTCTAGATATTTCATATAAGTAGGATCATATAATTTGTTGTTTTATGTCTGACTTATTTCACTCAACATGTTTTTAAGGTTCCATCCATGTTGTAATGTGTATCAGGACTTCATTTGTCTTTATATCTGAGTAATATTTCACTGTATGATATATCTTATCTTGTTGATGTGCGCTTGGGTTGTTTCCACCTTTTGGCTATTCTGAATAGTGCTGCAGTGATCACTGGTGTACATGTGTCTGTTTCAGTTGCTTCTTTCAATTCTTTTGGCTATATACCTAGGAGTGGAATTGCTGAGTCATATAGTAATTCTATATTTAACTTTGTGAGGAGCTGCCAAACTGTTTTATACAGTGGCTGTACCATTTTACAATCCCATCAGCAATGTATGAGCGTTCCAGTTTCTCCACATCCTCTCCAACACTTGTTATTGTCCGTCTTTTTCACTATAGCCATCCTATGAAATGGTATGAAATGGTATCTCATTATGATTTTGATTTTCATTTACCTAATGACTAATGTTGCTGAACATCTTGTCATTAGATTTTTTGGCCATTTGCATATCTTCTTTGGAGCTTTTGGTCATATTTATTCAAATATTCTCTCTGCTTTTTTCTCTTCTCCTTCCCATAAAGCATATGTTGGTCCTCAGGCTTTGTTCATTTACCTTCATACTTTTTTCTGCTCCTCAGACTTGATAATTTCAATTGTCCTGTCTTCAAGTGTGCTACTTCTTTTTTCTGCCAGTTCAAATCAACTGTTGAACCCTTCCAGTGAATTTTTCATTTCAGTTATTGTACTTTTTAGCTCCAGTATTTCTGTTTCCTTTTTATAATTTCTATTTATTGATATTCTCATTTTGTTCATGCATCACTTTCCTGATTTCCTTTAGTTCTTCACCCATATTTCCTTTAGCTCTTTGAGCATATTTAATATTGTTTTAAAGTCTTTGTTCTGTCCATTATCTGGGCTTCCACAGGGACAGTTTTTGTCACTTCATTTTGTTCTTTTGAATGGGCTATCCTTTCCTAGTTTTTGTTTGTTTGTTTTTGTTTTTTATTCCTTGTAGTTTTTTGTTGAAACTGGAACATTTGAATATTATAATGTGGTAGCTCCAGAAATCAGATTCATCAACTCTTCCTCTTCCATAAGGATTGCTGTTTGTTTGCTTGTTTGTTTTAATTGTTGAAGGCTGCAGTAGTTCATTTGTTTAGTGACTTTCTCCAACTATTTTTTACAAAGGCTGCCTTCCTGGATGTGTGTGGACTTGAAGTCTTTGTTCCTTGGCTTGTTTCAGCTTGTGTTTTGGCAGATATTTTCTTGAATGCAAGAGAGTGAGGGACTTCTCTTAGTGTTGGCATATTGGCTCTGTGCGGGGCCCTCCTTCAACACTTAGCTAAACTTTCAGTCATTGTTGCTTCCCCTCAGCCCTCGTGAGCTCCAAGACAGGCCAAACTTAGCAGAGCACCTTACTTCCATCCTACTGGCAGCTCCCAGAGAGATTAGAACAGACACACACACAATAATTTGTGAATAAGCCTGCTCTGCTCCCTCTAGAGTCAGAGACTAGACTCTGTCTCTGAATGCGTGGACTGTCACCACTTTAAAATGGACACACCAAGGTGGGGAGGGAGCTGGGTGCAGGCGAGTTGAAAACCTAAGTTTTCCTACCATTCGGAGGTAGCCTTTATCTTGATTGAGCATTCACTTAGCTGCTGGTGTCCAGAGTTCTGACAAAGTTGCTTCTACCAATTTCTGCTTTTTTTTTTTATGGTGGAGAGTGCTTTTGTGTGGGGAGAGTGGGAGCATGGAGCTGCTCATGCTGCCATCTTGCTTCTCAATCTGGAAAATTTTTAAGTGTGCATGAGGTCTTCCTTTACTGCACTATTGTATTCCCCTCCATTGTGAAAACTTGGTGGGGTTAGGTAAGCTCAGAGGAAAAAATTTAACTCTAATCTCACTATCCAAAGATAACTTTTAATGCTTTAATATAGGTTTTTATTTTTGAATGCTTTAATTATAATTTTCTGAGTTTTTACCTTTGGGAGAATGTACTATTTTAAAATTTGATCCACATACTGATGTTTTATGCCAAAAATTATGGTGGGTGATGTGGAGAGGCACTTCAGAAGGAATATAGTACATGGCATTATCCTCAATTAGCTAGGAAGCTTTTAGAGGATTTTAGTCTAATTTGCATGAAATAAGTAAACACTGTTTAAGTTGGCATTATTTCTGTTAATATTCCTCTGAAGGTTCAGAAGGGTTATTGAAAGGCCCCCTGTCTGAAGAAACAGAAGCATCAGACAATGTTGATGGAGTTCATGATTCTGTCGTTTTGGATCCTGAGAGACTAGAACCTAGACTGGATGAGGAAGACACGTATGTTGTGATATACCTAGAAAAATGTAGTTGGCATGTGTGTGGGTGTATAATTTAAATTATACCATAATAATTTCAGGTTTAGTAAGAGCTTGTTATATTACTTTTCATCATAAATTACTATTTATATCTTGTGCTTTTTTCTGGGATGGCTAATTATGGTATTACAGAGTTCCTGATTGAGCCTCATACAGATAATCTTTCAGTTTAGACTTACTGTTTCTTTAACATACTAGATTTTACATTGAAAGCAGTTATATTAACAATGAAAGAAGTGATCTTTTGAAATACTAACACATTTTTTCTCTGTTCAGTTGCCTCATGGAGCCTGCTTTAGGGTTCTCTAGAGAAACAGAACCAGTGATATTTAATGAACAGTTTCTTTTATAATGATCAGCACAAAGCTGGTTCCTATGAGGTGGAAGTTAAAGATGTCCCAAATGTCCAGCTTTTCTAAACTGCTGTCCCATTCCATCATCCAAACATCAACTACTCCCCCTCCCTCAGTACTCTCCGTCTGGTCTTTGGGTTCTGTAATTTGCTGCAGTGTCTCACAGAACTCACGAACTGTATTTAAAGCTAAATGGTTTATTAGGGAAGTAACAGGGTGCAACTTGGGATCAGAATACAGTTCTTCGATAAGTTCTTCTTCTCAGCCATGCCCACAGGCAGGCCTCTCTCTGGCCTCTTGGCTTCTTGGCCTCTTGGCCTTGCCTCTGCCCTGCTCAGGCAAGTGTTACAAAGTTCCTAGTGCCATGGGTCGGCAATCCCCACTGCAGCCATCTCCCTCCAGTTGGTCTCCTGGTTCCTGCCATCTCACATTGCTATCACTCTTGCTACTGCTGCACCACCGTCTCTCGCTGTCTTCCATGTTAAAGCTCCTCGAGCACTCTCTCTCTGTCTCCCTTTAAGCCTTGTAAGATGGCAAAACTGACCAATTCCCTTGTTAGGATCCCATATACCTTATTTACATGGTCCCACCCCATCAAGGGTGCCATGCATCTTATTTGCATTAATAGTAAACTGTGCAGTCCCCTTGGTGGGCCACAAGCACCTTATTTGCATAGCTCCAACCGATAATTTTGTGAGAGTTATAAGACCATGATGAGAAAGGCCATATAAAAGTGATCCATCATACCGCAGTCCACCCTCTGGGTTTTCTAGCCATGGTTCTTTCATACTTGGAGGATAACTTCCCCCTCCCAACCATTTTACCAGTCCAAAACAGTTATTAACAATTAGTCCTCTCTTAGGGCAAAGAGTCCTCAGGATGAGGTTACTCAGGTACCAGCCATTCAAGTCTACCACAAGTATCTAGCTGATCTGGTCAGGTTCTCCAAAAGTTGTCTCGGCTTCACCCTCTCTGGCCTCTGATAAAATTTAACTGAGGGAAGATTATTCCATTGCTCTGAATCTCTCTGAAGGTATCAGCATAGTGTTAGATTTCCCCTGCTGCATAACCCATTTATTCATTCCTTTACCTTCAGCTATTATTTCTCCTTCCTTCCATTTGTCATTTGTTTTTACCCAAACTCTTCCACTTTGGGAAGGGGCATCAGGTTCAGCTGCTGTACCAGTCCAGATTGCTGGTAGCAAGACCAGTCAAGCAAGTGCTTCCCCCTCAGTCCACTCATTCATGTTGGGTAGGGTTACATAGGTACAACACTAATGAGCTATCTCAACCACTAGACAGTATGACACTATTCATTGTCAACCTCACTTTTGCCAGATTGAGGGAAGGTACAATCCATCCCATTAAGCCCTTAGGAATTCTAGGGATATAGTTACAGTCTCTTGCTTAGGGATCACCCCTGCTTCCGGCACCTGCAGCTGCATCCCTGTTCCTGGGACCACAGCATCTGGCAGGAAAAAAAGCAATTTTAGGTGATATGGGGAAGAGCTGTACAGTGGCACCAGCATCTTCCTCCAGCCCTTCTTCCCCAGATCACCAAGAGAAGCGTAGGAATCTGTCCAGTGGTGATCCTCCATTTGCCCCACTCATGTTGAGTGTGAGCACACACTCATGAAGGCACGTGAGCCAGCCCTTCATGGTTTTATCTCCCTCATTTCAGGTAACAAATGTTTCAATTGCCCATTCCAATTCTCTATCAAACCATTACTCTGAGGGTGGTATGCAATATGGTATGTCCATTTAATATGATGTTTCTTGGCCCATTGCTATACCCTGTGGACTGTAAAGTGTGTTCCTTGATCTGATGAAATGTAACTTAGTGGCCCATATTGGTACAGTATCTTTTGTTCCAATCCCTTAGTAGTTTTTTATCATTTGCATCCATCACAGGATATACAAAGCCTAGTCCAGAGTAAGTATCTGTTCCTGTGAGGACCCATTTGTAGCTGTCTGGTGCCACTGACATCATTGGTCCAATACAATCAACTTGCCAGCTACGTGCAGGCCTTCCCCCTGGGAAGTCTACCCCATAGCCATCTGCAACGTCTGTCTTTTTTGTTGGCAGACAGAGCAGTCCTTATTGGCATTTTTTGCCTCAGAGGGTGCAAGAGGGATGCGTCTAGATTCAGCCCATCTCTGCATTGCTGCAGCACCCCCATGTCTACTCATTTCATGGGCCCAATCAACCACCTCAAGTGGCCGTACTAACAGGTCCACTTACTGATTCCAGTCATCTTCCGATCCAGGAAGGGGGTTCTTCTGATGGGCATCAACATGTCCTACTCTAATGCACCCTCTAAATTCCCAGAGTGCTTTCCATAGGTCCATGCCTCACTTGGGTATCCCCTTAATAGTCAATTTTCCATCTCACATTTGCCTGACCATATAGCCAGGCCATTGGCCACAGCCCATGAATCGGTAAAAATCCAAACGTATGGGCTCTCATCATTGCTCAATTCTTCCATTGCAGCTAGGAAGACAGCATGAAGTCCAACCCATTCAGCTGACCTCGTCTTACCTTCTTTAGTCAGGGCCTTTCCATTTGCTGGCCTTAATGCCGCAGCTTTTCACATCAGTTGTCCATGTACCCTGGAACTGCCATCTGTTAACCAAGAAGCCTTCTGCTCATCAGCAGAAAGTTGTTGATAGGGTGCCTCCTGGTAGCAATGGGCTCTAGCAGCTTCTCAGGTGGTTCTAGAGTACGACCTATGGGAAAAGAGGCTACCTGCTCGTGGATATGGTGGGTTCCTCCCTGCATTCCCCTAGTATCTTGTTCTTGTATGAACCATTTCCATTTTATTATGGAACTATTTTGGGCACTGCCTTCCGTATTAGAGTGTTTCTCTGACATCACCCGAGACATTATGGGTATTTCAGGTCTTATGATGATTTTATGTCCTTCTGTCATGGAGGCAGTCTCAATCAACGCCCAATAATAGGTGAGTAATTGCTTTTCAAATGGCATGTATCATGCTGCAACATCTGGAAACTTTTTTAGTTCAGAATCCCAGCAGACCCAGTAGGGTAACATTCTCAGGTTTTTGCCATAAACTCCAGTCTGCATAAGCACATGTGGCAGACACCTCCAAAATCATGTCTGAACATGAATCATAAGGGCCTAAGGGCAGGGAGAGTGAGACCGCTTTCTGTAATTCAAACACAGCCTGCTGTTGTTCTTGTCTCTGTTTGAACAAAGTTTTCTTCTGAGTGATTTTATGGATGGGAGCAGCAATGTTCCCAGATGTGGAATATATGTTCTCCAAAATCCAAATAGACCAACCAAATGTTGGACCTCCTGCTTAGTCTGGGGGTAGAGAGTGACAGCAACTTATTCTTGGTTGCCTGCAGAATGTCACGGGTGGCCCTTGCCCAAATTTTTCCCGATAATTTCACCTTTTGGGCAGGGCCCTGGATTTATTAACCAGCCTCTGTTGGCCATGTGGGTCACCACTGTATTCAAATCAGCTCTAGCCTGTTCTTTGGTTTCTGATACTAACATAATGTCATCAATGTAATTTATCTTTACACTTGCAATCTGTACCAAGTCGAAGTCTCTTCTAACCAAACTATGATAGTAAGCCAGTGAATTCAAGTAACTCTGTGGCAATATAGTGAAAGTGAAAGGGAATCCTTCCATGTGAAAACAAACTGCGGCTGGCTCTTTTCCAAGATTGGGATCGAGAAAAAGGCATTTGCAAGATCAGTCAATGAGTACCAGTCTCCTTTAGCCTACTGTATTTTCTGCATCATTGATACCATCCTGGAACAGCTGAAGCCGCAGGTGGCACTACTTTATTTAGGCCTCGATAGTCTACTGTCAGCCTCCATGAGCCACCTGCCTTTTTTACAGGCTATGCAGGGCTGTTACACAGAGAATTTGTTGGCACCAACACTCCAGCATTTAGCATGTCTTTAATCAAAGTAGTAATTTCGTTTTGTCTACCAGGTATCCTGTACTGTTTCAGATTAACAAGCCTGAGTGGGTTTGGGCAATTCTAATGGTTTCCATTTAGCATGTCCAATCAATACCGGCCTAAGGGCAGACTTACACACCTTCAGTTTTACAGTATCAGATAGAGGGAGTATTCCCCAGTTACGCATAACATCCATACCAATAATACATTCAGGTAAGGGAGATGCAACTACTTCATACGAGATCTGTTTAAATCTTCCAGTTCTCATCCAAACTTTCACCTTAGTCCCATCAACCATTGTATCCCCGTATCCCCCTAGTCTACCTTTAGGCCCCTTTAAGGTTTTTTTGACAGGTTTTGGAATTACAGTATATTGGGCTCCTGTGTCCAAGAGCCCCAAGAATATCTTTTCCCCACCCCGGGCCATTTCACCCACACATGTGCATATAACCTCATGTCCCCTGCTGGGGGATGGACCAGAAGACCCTGGCCCCCTCATCAATCCTTATCCTGATCAACTATCTGAGCCTTTGCTTCAAATGGTCCCAGGTGGGACTTCTCATCATTAAATTCCTTTCAACTAGGGTGAATAGAGTGGACTTGTTTAGGCCTCTTTAACACTGAGGGACCAGCTGGAGTTTGTATTGGTCCACCCAACCTCCTACAGTGCTCCATTAGGACGTTTGTCTCAACTCCATCATTGTCCGCTATATTCATCCCATTTCTTAGTAACCATTGAAAAATCTCCGTCCTCGTGGAGTAAGTTCTTTCCCCATTGCCTCTTCCCATTCTCCTATGAATCACTCTTAGGTTTCTTGCATCTGTAAGACCCATGCGGGGAAACTGTGCCAACAGATCCAACAAGCCTTCTTGGACTGTTGGTTTGTTTCACAGTAGCAAGGTTACATTGGGTGCCCATGTAGAAGGGGCTCCATCGATTACCATATCTACCATGACTTGTGTAAGAGGCATACTCATTGGATGAATATCTTGATCAACATAAAGTCCTTCCAGCATGGCTTGCATAAACAGCACATCAGCTGCTTCCTCTGGAGTGTTCATTGGGTATTTAGATGGGGAAAGGGGCAGTTTCCATTCTCAGAGTAAGAAAATCTCACTGCATATTTTATCCAGTCTACCAGGCTGGCCGTCCCCTTTGGGTTAACCTGTTGTGTAACTGGATCTGGTGTCATCATTCATGACTGTTCCATAGTGAAATTGTGGGTCTTGCATCAACCCAAACATACTCTTCCATTCTGCAACATTCAGATCTAAAGACCCTGCCCCTAAATTAGTAGTTCTTACAGCCATTTTCGTAATGGTTCCTCAGGAAACTGACAGTACCAATCTACAAATTGAAACAACTCCTTTATACTGTACCCCTGGCTTCAATAGTTTCTTGGTTTTGCCTGTTCCCCTCTGGACTACCTTTTTGGTGACTAGTGGTCATAGGGGTACTTCCTGTTGTTCTGATGTGATTTTTCCTTTCCTGGTTTGCTCTGAGACTGACAGTTGTAGTTCTGACCGGACTGGATCTGGGCTTAGTACAGTGTTACAATCCACCACTGTATTCTTTTTCCCTACCATTGCATCTGTTACTGATAACATCAACCAAGGAATTGTATGTATCACCCTTTCCTTATCACTCTGTATTTCCTTATGCATCCAACTAGCAGATTCCTCAGGAGTTAGACCCACCACTTCCATGAATAGCTTTTGCCTTGTGTGATTGATAGCAACATAACAGCTACTTCGGTCCATGGGTGTTTTTTATCCTATACAGAAACCAAAAGTTTCTCATTCTCCTATTTATCCCCTTTTCTCCAAAACCACATATTCCAGTGAGTCTGGGCTGTTGGAGTGAATCCCACCATTCTGACACCAATTAAATGAATAATTTCTTTTATAAGGATCAGCAAAGGCTGGTTCCTATGAGGTGGTGGTTAAAGATGTCCCAAATGTCTGATTTTTTCAAACTGCCGTCCCACTCCATGGTCTGTAACACCAATTACTCCTCCTCTCTAAGTTCTCTCCCTTCTGTCTTTGGGTTCTGTAATTTGCTGCAACGCCTTACAGAACTCACAAACCACACTTACAGTTAAGTGGTTTATTAGGAAAGTAACAGGGTGCAACTTGGGATCAGAAACTGCTCAGAATACAGTTCTCCAATCAGGACAGCTTCTTCTCAGCCATGCCCGCAGGAAGGCCTCTCTGTGGCCTCTCAGCCTTGCCTCTGCCCTGCTCAGCCAAGTATTACAAAGCTCCTAGCTCTGTGGGTTGTCAAGCCCCACCACAGCCATCTCACCCTGGTCTCCTGGTTCCTGCCGTCTGGTGCCACTATCACTGTTGCTACTGCTGCACCACCGTCTCTCTCTGTCTTCCGTGTTATAGCTCCCCCCACTCTCTCTCCCTCTGTGGCTCCCTTTAAGTCTAGTGGGATGGCAAAACTGACCAATCCCCTTCTTAGGGTTCCATGTACCTTATTTGCATGGTCCCACCCCCGCAAGTGTGCCATGCACCTTATTTACATTATTAGCAAGCTGTGCAATCCCATTGGTATACCACAAACACCTTATTTTCATAGTCCCACCCAATCATTTGATTGGAGTTACGAGAACATGGAGAGAAAGGCCATATAAAAGTGATCCATTGCACTGTATGTATGAAAGTATGTATGTGTGTATATGTATATATATAAATATATATATATATATATACATACATACATAGAGAGAGAGAAAGACAGATTGGTTTACTTCAAGCAATTCAGTCACACAATTGTGAGGAGCTGGCAAGTCCAAAATCCATAGGTCAGGCAGCAGGCTGTAGTCTTCTGCAGGCTTGCATCCCAAGATCTGTAGGTCAGGTGATGGACAGAGTGAAAAGTGAAGTGAGAGTTCTGCCAGAATATCTGTTTATTGTCTGGAGGCGGATCATACCCTAAGGAAACTCCCTTTTCAACTGATTGATTGATTACATTACACTAGATTACATTATGGAAGTTGATTATATTACATTATTGAAGGTAATTGGCTCTACCCAGTGCCAACTGATTTAATCATGTATAACTACTCCATCCATGGCAGCAACTAGACTAGTGTTTGGCTAAACAACTGGGAAGTTGAGACACAAAATTAACCATCATAGAGGTCATTTAAAAGAAATTTAAATATTGCTATGTTGGCGTTCTGCTTTGAGTCACTTAACAAATACTTAATGCGCCCCTAACAGGGAGGCTTAATATCCAAATTGTTTTTTCACAGGGACTTTGAGGAAGAAGACGACAACTCTGATTGGGTATCAGAACTGAAGAACTGAGCTGGATTACAGGGAGTGGGTGATGAATAATGCCCAAGGAAATGTTCCTTAATCACACTGAGTAGATTTTTAAAATGAGGGATTAATATTTGGATAATAATTAGTTCACAGGATGTGTATTTTCCTTTGGTAACATAATGAAAAGTGAGAAACTATGAATATTTAGAATTGTTCCTGATTAGTATCATGAAGTTTAAAAAATCTAGACCGCCTATAAGTTTTTAAACTCAGGGGAGAAGGTGTAGCATAATGGATATCATCTTTGGGCTTTGGAGACAGGTAGAATGGAAACTGGTTGCTAGATCGACCACCCAGTATTGTGTGATTGTCGGAAGTTAACCTCTTTGAGCCTTAATTCCCTCAACTGTGAAATGAGGATAATTATGCCTGCCTCCTAGGGCTGCTGACAGTAGATCATACAGCATCTCCTAATGTTATTATTCATATAGTTATGATTTGTGCTTATTACTATGTAACTCATTTTACATTTTCTAAAGTTTAAGGATCGAAATATATTTAATGATAACACAGTAATGTGTGCAATTTTTAATAAGACCTATTTCAGGGTAGTTTATGTGAGCTGCACCTCATTTCAGTGATCTTCACCAAATGTCAGCTGTCCTTAAATGCTATTATGAATTGAATTGTGTCTCCCAAAATATATATTGAAATCCTAACCCCTGTACCTGTACATATGACCCTGTTTGGAAATAGGGTTTATTTTTTTGTTATATTCATGAGGTCATACCAGAGTAGGATGGGTGCTAAGCCTAATCACTTCTAAGTTATAAAAAGGGCAGAATGAACATAGAGACACAGACATGGGGAAGAGGAAGACCGATGACTGCAACAAATTCATCTACAAGCCCAGGAACTCCAAGGATTGCTGCCAGCTTCTAGAAGCTAAAATAGATGAGGAAGGACCTTCTCCTAGAGCCATGCCCTAAATTCAGACTTCTAGCCTCCTGAACTGTGAAAAAATAAATTCCTGTTCCTTAAAGCCCCTCTCTTGTGGCATTTTTTGTTACAGCAGCACTAGATATCTAAGACAGATACAAACTGTCACAAAATGCACAGAAGAGCCCAGGTCAGAGGATCAGCAATGGTTAAGAGTGGAATGGACTGTAGATTTTATCAGAGAGGGATAAGGCCACAGTGAGGAATAGATATGGTAAGTGTCTGAAAGTAGGGAGTGTTGTGGAACCAATGAGGGGATCCCGACATGTATGGATCACCATGCTACACGTGTGCTGAGTCCTGCCATTTGTTACTTCAATTAGTACTGTGTTACGGTAGCGAAGTGCAGATGTTTTACTAATTGAGAGAGAGGCTCCTCCCAGTGTACCTCACAGGAGCAAATGGGAACAGCATGAGCCTGACCCAGTATGAGAACAATGATAAAGTGAAGAATAGGGGAAAAATAGTCGTGAAACTATTCAAGGATCGCTAACAAGGATCTACTGAAATAGAAATATATATATCTTATGTGTGTGTGTATATATTTGTGTGTGTGTGTGTGTGTGTATATATATATATATATATCTTTTAAGGAGCCCTGGTGGTGCAATGGTTAAAGCACTGGACTGCTAACTGAAAGGTTGGTTGTTTGAAACCAGCAGCTCTGAGAAGAGAGATGCAGCAGTCTGCTTCCCTAGAGATTTGCAGCCTTGGAAACCCTATGGGGTCGCTGTGAGTCGGAATTGACTCAATGGCAGTGGATTTCGTATCTCTTTTAGAGATTTAAACTGTTTTTTAACTTTAATATATAAAGATTATGGTGTAGACCGGTACCTCACCCCTACCCTACATGCTTTGTTTACACTTAGACGAGATTTTGTATTATCTGATGCCAGTAATACTTTTCCTAGAAATTGCAGTTTAAAATTTCTGCCTTAAAGTCTTTGGTTGCTGTTTCGTTTTTCAGGATAGGTTTTTATTCATTTTGTTGGACAAATAGAATTTTCTTATATTCATTACTCTTTGATTTATCATTAAAAACAGTTCAACAATTGTATATACAAATTTAGTAAGTCTTTGGTGTGTGCAGTTGCCTTTAAGAGCAGCCATTGTCTCCACAATCTGTTCCCACTAGCATCTATTAAAACACTAAAGAAACAGGTTCAGAAAGCTCAGGTCACAACGCTGACAAGAAGTGGGGGTGGGACTAAAACCCAGGGCCTCTGACACCAAATCCTGTGCATCAGAGGTACTTGTGGTTATAGTTGTTTTATTTCTGTAAAGGATTTTGTCAACTGTTTCAATGTAACTACTGATGTGATCTCTAATTTTGGCATCTATAATATTATGGATTAAATTTTGTGTTGTTCTCCCCCCCCCAAAAAAAAAAGTTGAAGTCCTAGCCCAGTACCTATGAATGTGATCTTGTTTGGAAATTGGGTCTTTGAAGATGTTATCAGTTAAGTCAACATGAAGTCATACTGGAAAAGCGTGGGTCTTAATCCAGTATAACTGGTGCCCTTATAAAAGAGAACATACACAGAGACAGGGAGACAGAGGAAGGATGCCATGTGACGTGCAAGTGCAAGCCAAGGAATGCCTTGAGCTACCAGAAGCTAGGAGGGAGGCATGGAACAGTTTCTCAAAGCCCCAGAAGGAGCCAACATGGCTGATACCCTGATTTGCACTTCTAGCCTCCAGAACTGTGAGATGATAAATTTCTGTTCTTATAAGTCTTATAAGCCACTCAATTTGTGGTATTTTGTTAGAGTAGCCCTGGGAAAATAATACCTTATCCAAGTGTGAAAAAATTATTTAGCACATGATGGATATTCAAGATGTAAGAGGCCATGTTTTATGACATGTTTTTATGAAAGTCCTACCTAAGGAAGCCTGAAAGCACCCTGTTAAGGTGACTTGAAAACACACCAAATATACAAAGGGAGAATATAAAATTATATGTACACATGGAAAGGGCTAAAAAAGAATTTATAAATGAAAAATACTTGTCTTAAGTTTGTAGGTTTTATTTTTTTCCTTTCAAATTAAAAAAAAAAATTACAAGTGAAGAGAAAAAAAAACCTGATTCTAAAACCATATTCCTCTGAAAATGTTATATAAGCCACAATATTTCTAGGAGCCTTTAGGCAAAATCTGTTTTAGTGTGCTTAGTTTAGAAACAAGACTAAGGGTACAGTTCATGAGTGGATCCCTGATATCCCTGCGTGGAGAGGAGCATGTTAACCCTACAATGGGTCAAAGTGGATAATTACTCCAGGGGGCCCCATTTTGGATAAAATGCATATGAAGCACTATCATTTCCTCCTTTATCATAGCCAACATCAGAAGCCCAGAATAGAAGTCACATAAGGCTGGGCCCACCAATGAAAAATTTCTAATCATTTTTTGCCTTGCAGCTGAAAGTTTCACTTTTCATTCATTTGCTTGAGTGTGACTTTTCAAGGTTCCTCCTATTGAAATGTAAATATGAGATATGAACATCTGAAAAAATGTGTAGTGTGAAGCAGAGGCCAAGGGAAATGCTAAAAACATATGCAAGAGGCATCCCAAAATCCCATTTTTAATTTGCCATTTTCTCTCTGATATTCAATTTAGTTTCTACTGAGAACAGACTACATAAACGGTGCTATGTAGGATTTAAATACATTTAAGAAATGACCCCCCCACCCTCAGGGAACTTTATTAAACAATACAATATGCAATGGAGCAGGTACCTTGGAAGGGGTTCAAAATGCTGTGCAGAAGCTCCGTGAGAGATTATTTGATTTGGCTGGACAAGGGAGGATCCTCCATAGGGTGAGCTCAAGTGACTGTCTTCAAACTGGGGTAATATACTCCTTGAAGACTTTTACCTTTTCTCTTTTTAAAATAAAACGTTTATTTTAGAATTATTTTCTATTTACAGAAAAGCAACGATAATACAGTTTTGGGATATGCCTTACCAGTTTCCCCTAACGATAACACCTTACATTACCATGCTACCTTTGCCATAATTAAGAAACAAATACTGGTTCACTACTATTAGCTAAACCCTAGACTTATTCGGATTTCACTAGTTTTTCCACTAATGTCCTTTGTTCCAAGATCCCATCCAGGATATTACGTCTCCTTAGTCTCCTCTGGTGTGAGAGACCATCTCAGTCTTGCCATGTTTTTCAAGACCTTGACATTTTTGAGTACTGATAATGTATGGAGTCCCTGGGTGGTACAAACAGTTAACAAGCTCAACTGCTAACTGAAAGTTTGGAGGTTCGAATCCACCCAGAGGTGTCTCGGAAGAAAAGCCTGGTGATCTACTTTGAAAAAATCAGCCATTGAAAACTTTATGGAGCACAGTTCTACTCTGACACACATAGGATTGCCATGAGTCGGAACTGACTCTACAGCAATTGGGATTTTTTGGAAGGTATTTTGTAGCATGCCCCTCCATTTGGGTTTGTTCAATGTTTTTCTCATGATTAGACCGAGGTTATAGGTTTTGGGGAAGAATACCAGAGAGGTGAATTACCCTTATCACGTATCAGGTAGTATGCGTTATCAACCTGACTTATTACTAGTGGTGTTGACCTTGATCACTTGATTAAGGCAGCACCTGCCAGGTTCTCCACTTTAAAATCACTAATTTTCCATTTCCATACTGTATTCATTAGAAGCGAGTCAAGTAAGTCCTTCCCATAGTCAAATGGAGAAGACTTATGCTCCACCTGCTGGAAGAGGGTGGTATCTACATATTTTGTTTAGAATTCTGCTTCTCCCCATTTATTTATTTATATCATATGGACTCACGTGTATGTTTTATACTTTGGGTTATAATTCAATACTAAGTCATTTATTTTATTGCTCAGATTGTTCTAGTGTTGGCCATTGGGAGTTCTTTCAGGTTTGTTCCTGTGTCCGTTTGACATACTCCATCCTTTGGGTTTTTCAGCACTTCCTTACTTCCTGGCACTACAAAAAGATGCTCCAGACTCATCTTGTACCTCCTCTGCCACAGCTCTAGAATTAACCATTTCTTCAAGAAG